CTGGCTGTGTGACTCAGGTAAGCTCTAGACACCTCTGAACTTTGATGTGCTCATTTGCAATCTAGGAATACTAACACCTGGACTGAATGAGACAAAATCATAACACATAGTGCCTTTCACATAAATGGTGCTCCATAATCAGTGATTTTTTTTTCTTTGCAAGCTTACAAACTGTTCAATGTATACCAAGAATTATTGGTATATTTAGCATGATTTGATTTCACTGAGTAATCAGATAAATAGTGAAAGAAAACTATAAGCAGGAAGAATAGAATGGAGACCATAAAGCACATTGTCTATGTTTAAAATAAATATATTTGTAGATAAGGACATATAAAGACTTAAGGTCTCCCAAAACCTTACTCATAAAATTAACTCACATTGTTTTAGCTAAGAGATGATTGTATGGATCATTTTTAAGAATGAAAAACACTAGCCATGACCAATGGTCTTGTGTCAGGTTGGGTTAAGGTATCTAGTGAGTGATTGTGAGAATCGGTGATAATTCAGATTTTATCTAGCACCTCCACTGAGAGCAAGAGTAATTGGTCTATTAATGAAATCTGTAAAGTCACTCAGTGAACCTCCAGGGAGCCTCTTCAGAACTGGAGATATTAACTCAGGAAGACTAGAAATAATGCAAAAAGATTCCAAAGTTCATTCACTTATTCAGAAAACATTAAGCCCCTTCTCTGTTCTTTTGGGCACTAAGGAGTCACAGCCCAGTGCAGAGTAGAGCAAGCAAATCACTACAAAGCAGTGAGAGAAGGGCCCTGGGTATAGGTAAGTGTTGGGCACCAAGACAGCCCAGATGTGGGGCTCCTGACCCAACCCAGGGGTCAGAGGAGGTTTTCCAGAGGAGGAAACACCTGGGCAGACTCTGCAGACCCATTGCACCTAGTCTGACAGAGGAGGACTGGCAAGTCATTCCTTTTGGCTGTGCTGGCATAAGGGTGCCAGCCTCTCCCAGTGTGAGGGTTCCTTTGAAGTGTCAGTGTGTGTCATGGCCTTCCCACTTCACAGTAATTGTCCTTTTAAAATATTTATTTTTCTTTATTTTAGAAGTACTGGGAATTGAACTCTGGGGTGCTCTATCACTTAGCTACATCTCATCTTTTTTATTTTTTGAGAAAGTTCTCAGTGAGTTGCTAAGGCTAGTACAAATTTACAATCCTCCTGTCTCAGCCTCCCATATTGCTGGGATTACAAGTGTTTGCCACTGCTCACAGCAAAATCTTTTTTTAAAAAAAAAGATATGATATTTTTTCCTCCCCACCAAAAAAAATCTATCAGTAATTTCATAACAGTTTTAAAAGAACTCATGTCTTGTTAGTCCCAGTGTCAACTGATATTTATGCTAGAAAAATATTTACTGCACTTAAATGATGCATGTATTTTAATCCCCACAGTATATAGCTATTTAACATTTTCACTTGAGAAATAATTATCTCATGTGAAAGACTTTTTTCCATTCTAATCTTTGCATATGGAAATCTTTACGATTTCCTCAATATAACCATATGCAAAGATTAGAATGGAAAAAAGTCTTTCAGCAACTCTGGAGACTGAAGTAGGAGGATCAAAAGTTTTAAAGCCAGCCTCAGCAATTTAGCAAGATCTTCAGGAACTTAGCAAGACCCTGTCTCAAAGTAAAAAATAAAAAAGAGCTGGGATGTAACTCAGCAGTAAAGCACCACTGTGTTCAATCCCTAGTATAAAAGAAAAAAAAAATAGAAATCCTTGTGATAACTGCCAATTCATCCCTTGCCCACTGCTGACATCTGTGGTCCATAGTTAGGTTGCAGCCTGGGGAGACTGGCAGGATCTGAGATTGGATAGGTGGAGCCAGCTCCATCATCCATAGTGAAGTCGAAGGGATGGCCAGTTGATAGGGAGTTTGAGGCACGCAGTGACAACAACAGATTGCTCTGTCCGCAAGATGGCACAGGGATAGAGTAGGAGGCAAGTTCTGAACTACCATCATTGCAGTGAATGGAGAAAACATTAACATTGAAAAACATGAAAAAAGAAAAATATGAACAGAATTGATTTTACTTCATGACATCAACTTTTTGACTTGGGTAATTGAATAAATGGTGGTACTATCACAAAGGTGTTTTTAAAAGCAGAGATAAAGACAAGGCTTGAGGAAAAGATTTTGGATTTGGATTGCATGGAATCCAAATGGAACCCATGGAACTGCAAAGTAGAAATACCCAAGTCTGGAAGGAGGATATAGACTAGAGAAATGGCTGTCAACAGCTGGATAATAGGCAGAGTCACTGTACCCTGGGAGGAGTAAACAGTGTAAGAAGAGAGTCCAAGAACAACGTTCTGGAAACCCCCACATCTAAGAGGCAGGTAGAGGGGAACAACATCCAGAAATGAAGGATGAAAACCTAGAGAGAAAGATCATGGGAACTAAGGGGAGAGAAGATTTTCAGAAGGAAGCCAGGAAAAGGGTCAGTTCTACAGAGCAGTCAAGTATGATAAGGACCAAAAAGTGTATCTGTCTATAAAATGAAAAGAATAACAACAGAAACACATCTCTTACTTACCTAGCTCTTTAGGCTCGCAAAGCGCTTCCATATTTTTTTTATTTCATTTCATCTGCACTATAGTCCATAGAACATGCTTACAGATGCTAACGCTGCAGGGCCATGAGTTTAAGGGATTTGCCAAAGCCATCTAGCAAGTTAGTGTCTTGGCTTCTGGAATTAGAGATTTCAGTCCAGGGTCTTGAAGGTGCTCCCCAGTCACCCACACTCAGGGACTTTTTAATCACCCAGGGAAGAAGTCAGAATAGGGCCTGTTCCAGAATAACTACTGGTTGATAGTTATTAGATTTTTAAAGACTTGCTTATCACATTGTTTTGCTCTTCCCAGAACCCAAAGATGTCAGTGTTCTGGGACCTTCTGGATCTAAAAGGGCATTACCTAATTTCTTGCACCTAATTTTGTATGTGAGAAACCATTGAAGGTTTGCAAGCAGTGAAGTGATACACATTGGAATGTGTTTGGGAAAGGTTAATCAGCATTATTGAACTTGCATTTGACTGGGCTTATGCCTGGTTGTTGGATATTCACTTCACCTGAAATATACTATGAAGACGCAACCTGTCTGGGCTTTTTTGCAAGTGAACCCTTCTCTTCACCCTGCTTCCCACTCCAGTGACAAGAAGAGAGCAAGAGCTGTCTCATATTTGGAAGCAAAAGCTCCTTGCATATCTGATGATGCCAGTGCTGACCGTCAGCTCTCAATTCTCCCACACCATCCTGTCTGGAGGCAGCCCAGGAGTCCCCTGTTTACTCATTCATTCCTTAGTCATTCCATCAAGGAGTGGGGATGCTGCTCCTTCTATCTTGGCAGGTCTGGACCCAGTCCAAAGTTATCCAGGTGGGACGAGGCCTGAACCTCTTCTCTGCCTAGCTCTTCATTGGGAGAAATTTAGAAACACACTTATCTCTGGGAATTCACTGCTCTCTTGGGCATGGGGATGATTATCTCTCTGTAAACCTGTCTATCATTTATAGCACAGAAGGAATACCAAACAAAGGCCTTTATATTAATCTATAATATTTTATTCTCCTTACGACTCAGATGATATCACTATAGTACTACCACCTTGGAGGCCGGGCAAGGCCCAGAGACAGACATCACTATACAATATAGATTTTCTGGGGATGACTCACAACCTTTTTTCCAGCTGCTGGCCTGAGTCTGGCCTTTTCGACTAATCCATAAAACTGAGATACCACTGGGTGCATGGCTGTCAGGAATTTCTGGGAAATTGTCTGGAGTCTGCATCATAGGCATGACAGGTGGCATTTCTCTCCCATCCAGCCTAAGATTAGCTGTTTCTCTTTTCTTCCCAAGTTTGAAATGGATATGATCTCCTTTCTCTGACTTGAACAAAAAGCAAGCAGGATAGGTGAATTGTGACCATAGATGCCTACTTTATTGCCTACTTTTTTGTGGTGCTAAAATAAAAACACCTGCCCCATCCTGTTAAATATCAAATATAAAACTCAGATTAGAGAAAGTAGAGTTGCTAGGTATATCTCTGACCCCCTTAAGAATAACCCTCTGGGGGCTGCAGTTTGTGGCTCCAGGGTGAAGCACTTGCCTAGCATGTGTGAGGCACTGGGTTCGATCCTCAGCACCACATAAAAATAAATAAATAAAATAAAGGTATAAAAAAAAAAAAAAGAATAACCCTATGCCAGTAACACGTACAAGTAACATGATGCCAGTTATCTAACCTGTCAAATTAATGAAAGATGAAGTAAATGGAAGATTTCTGAAATCATCTTGAGCTTGTTCATCATTCAACCAGAGAAAACTCTTAGAAGTTTTAGAAGTGACAGGCTGAGCTGCAATTATGATTTTAAGACAAAAAGGCATGAAACATTTCCACATTTCCAGCTTCTGTATCAGAGACTTTTTTTTAATACCAGGAATTGAACTCAGGGCCATTCAGACACTGACCCACATCCCTAGCCGTATTTTGTATTTTATTTAGAGACAGGGTCTCACTGGTTGCTTAGCACCTCACCATTGCCAAGGCTAGCTTTGAACTCGTGATCCTCCTGCCTCAGCCTCCTGAGCTGCTGGGATTTCAGGCGTGTGCCACCACACCCAGCCTGTATCAGAGACTTTTTACTGATCTAAATGATACATCTCTGGAGTTAGATTCCCTGGGTTCAAATCTTGGCTCCTGAACCTACAAGCTGTATGACCTTGGACAGGTCACTTGCTGCCCGAGATAAGTAGGGATGATGATAGTTACTTATCTCAGAGGGCTGTCAGAATGTTTGACAAGTCATTATGGTACAGCAACTAGGTCAGCACCTGGGCATAGCCAGCATCATGTAAAGGCTGGCAAAGCACGCACCAGACTGAGGGGCGTGCACATACAAGGCAAGCTAGGCTGCAAGGCTTTGTTGAGAAGTCTCCTTGATAATCCAATAATGAGGTCCGTGCTGTTTCCCCACTGCAGGTCAGTGCAGCTGAATGGCCAGCCCTTAGTGATGGTGGACGACGGGACCCTCCCAGAATTGAAACCCCGCCCCCTGCGGGCCGGCCGGACATTGGTCATCCCTCCAGTCACCATGGGCTTTTATGTGGTCAAGAACGTCAACGCTTTGGCCTGCCGCTACCGATAAACCACCCCCACTCAGGAGCTGCCGGGGGGCCTGCTGGGCTGCTTTCTCCCTTCCACCCTAGTATCTGCCTCTGCTGCCCCATCCTGCTGGAATCAACATAGATTTTTCTCTCCAAAGAGACTAAATGTCATAGTTTGAGCTTAGCCTAGGTAGGTTGCATCCATCCCTAATGACATCCTCTGTACCCATGTAAGAACAAAGGTATGTGTCTAGAGCTGTATGTTTTCATTTACACGCACCATGAAAGCAGGCTGACTCCCCACTTCCAGGACAAATGTTTCCAAACAACTCCCCATGATTCTGGTCACACTACAGCATAACTACAAACCCCCAAGCTGAGCCTATGGCTACTGCCCGCAGCAGAAGATGAGGAAGGAAAATACTGGGAGGACCTCCAAGAACCCATTCCTCTTCTAACCCCTTCTCTCTTGTCTGTTTCCTGCTGCTGCCCTGGGTTTCCTGATACCTCTCTTCCTGTAGGAGAGCAAATGGTGAGTCAGCTCTGGCCTGCTGGGTGAGCTGTTTATGTAATTTCCTGGCTGATGTATGAGTGTGTGCATCTGGGTTTCTGACAGTGGCATCCATCACTGGCCATTCCTCCGGGAAGCGGGTGCTTCAAAAGTAGAATTATAATCATACTCCAGATTCTGTAAGAAGGTTCTTTCTATTCCTTTGTGAATCCAGATTCCCCCAGGCTTGGAACGGGAGTCAGGTAACAATATTCATTGAGTAGAGAGCAATGTATCAGGCACCACAAAAAGCAATCATCATCCTTCATGTTGCCAGGAGGAGAGAGTTGTAGTGCAAAGGAGAAAGCACGAAGAGACATCACACATACCCTGGCTAAGCAAAGCCAATCAGACCTGCCCCCAAACTGAAGACCAGCAGGGCCTGAGAGGGTAAGCCCTTAGTTGTTTGGTTAACCAAAAACCGTTCAGAAGGTGTGAATCAAAGCTTAGCACTGTAAATCACGATGAGATATGGCCTTTCTGCCTCTTGCCACGTAGAGGAGCCTCTCCATGGCACTGGCCAGGTGGAAATTCCAACAAATGTGCCTCCTATCCTAGGCCCACTTATTTGAGCAGAAAACAAAGCTTTGAGTAGCCATATGGAGGAGAACAAGAGAGCTGGAGACAGGTCTGATGGCCACACTGCGGAATGTCGGTGGGAAGCTTCTGAGTGAAGTGATATAGAGTCACAGTAAGGACCTCTATGATTCAGGAAGCACACGAGTCTTTGCAAAAAGTTGCAGAGACTTTCTTTTATGTGGATGTGATTGTCCTCAGGATAAATTACATAAATGATGCTTCTTTTAAAGGAGAAGATACTTGACGCTATCCTAGGGTGTTGACAGCCATACAGCTCTGCTGTTGTGAAAGGCTAGAAATGGGGTGGGGATGGGGTTGTTGAGGAAGTACCAGAGAGGCTGCCTAAGACAGCCGAAGAGTAAGGATTGGGGCCAAGTCTGCAAAGTGAGAGACGGAAGATTCAACAAGCAAGGTGGTAGTGGATTCTCAGCTTCGAGAATTGAGAATTTGGGAATTTAGAAAGCCAACTAGCTAATTTTATGTAGGAAAGTAGTGGACTTGGTTTTTGACACACTTATTATTAGGCGTGGGATAACATCACACTGGTGTACTAGAGCAAGCAGGAAAGGGAGAACCCAAGGATGCACTGGACCTGCTCAGTGCAGTGATTAGCATGGAAACCTCTGGAGAGAGCAGAGCAGACCCTGAGACTGCCCCCTGCCCCAGAGCTCCCCAGGGTGCTTCCCTTAGCAGGAACAGGCACCTCCTGCTGAAGCTTCAGCTCTTAGAGGACAGGAGAGAGAAGTGCCCAGACTAGGCGTAGGAAGGAGACAGGAGGACAGGCCAAAGTAGGGAAGAGCAAGGAAAGGAGAAATGAGACAAAAAGTTGTTTCCCCAGACTCTGGGGAAGACATCTGTATCTCCTCGAGATGCCAGTGCAGATGCCGCCTCAGGACTTTCTGATAATAACAGGTAACCACAAGTCCCTAATAGCCAGGCCCTGGCCTAGTTTGCTTTACATATATAAAGCCCCAAGATGGAGTTACTATTGTCATCCCCATTGTTTTCTTGAGGTCCTTAGCTTGCCCAGGGTCACCCAGGGAATGGTTGCTAATCCAGAGCCTGTCCACTTAATCAGCAAGTTCAGTGGTACCCAAGTCACAGACTCACCCCTTTCACCTCCTGGTATGTTCTCACTCAATACATCCAGGACTTTCAGAGCTCCATTCAGACACACTTGCTGTAAATAAGTGTTGATTCTTCACTAAGCCTTGCAGAATATAGGTAATTCCTGCTTCTTTTGTCTTTCTCTGTATATTAAATGCTGCACCCAAGAAGTTTAAGTTTTGTTTATTTTTTAGTTAATAAAAGGGGAAGAGGGAAGCACTGAAATTTATCTTTGGAATATTGCAGTTCTAATTCTGCAACTATCTCATGAAGAAGTACTTACATTGTTCAAAGGATACCAAGAAACCCACTCTGTCATCACATTACGTTTTAGCACAGGGCATCTGTCCTGGTGCCCTTGAGGAGTAGGAGGAGCAGTTACTAAACCAGTGGGGGTTGGTCCATCTAGGAATCCCCGTCACACACACCCCTAAAGACTGCCTGTGGCAAACAGCATCACAACCCATATCAAGAGAACCATTTTCTAGGCCAGCCAGAGACAAAAGAGCAAAGTGCATGTACCCCACACTCTCCTCTTCCTCAAGCAGGACACTGTGGAGATCATCTGAGACTTAAGAACTGCTTTATTTTAAACCAAAGAATGGGCTGGTGGACATACTGATTTGAAAGAGTAATGATGCAGAATGAGAATCCGTGCCTTTTGTTGAGATGGTTTTGTGTTCCTTCTGCCTCTAGGAATGATTTCCTTTCTCATTTCTTATCACAAAGGCTCAGAATAAATTCTCATTGTTATTTGGAGAGAAAGTCCCAATTCTTCTAATGCCCTGTAAAAAAAAAAAAAAAAAACCTGCAACTGTGGGATATTAGTATTATCTCTGGCTGGAGAAAAGCTTGAAAATACCAGTGGAGGGGGAGGGGGCTCCAGTGGGACCAAGGCCTGGACCTCCTAGAACCATGATTCCAGCCCCAGTTCCTCCCCAGCAGGAGTGTGGGCAGTCCCCAGGCAGGGAGGCCCAAAGCTACACACTCTCAGGTAGGACAGAGAAGCCTGATGGATTCTACTGTTACCCACTCCCAGAATCAGGGGCCAGCACTCAGTGGGCTGTTAGCCACCGAGCTTCCTGCAGGCGGCATCGTTGGGGCCGGGCCCAGCATCCATGCACTGAGGCCCGGTGCCTGGAATGGATGTAGCTACAGGATTCACCTTGGAAACCCACTGAGAGTGGCTTTATTTCTGAAAACAAAATGTCAGCATTTAATCTCTGCAGAAGCAAAGGCAAACCAGGTGGATCCCTCTGATGGTAAAAACACTAGGACAAGGAAGGACTTTCATATTTTGAAATATCAATGGAGCAACCAAAAAGAATTGAGATATGGCTTTGGGAAAGCCAGAGAAGGAAGAGCAGAGTCTTGTACCTAACAGTTTCCTCCACACCCCTGTCCAGCCGGACACCATTGGGCCGCTCTGGACACTGACTTGCTCTTCCCGCACTCGCTCTCCTGTTCCACAGCCCCTCCCCTGCCAGCCTCTCTATCCCCAACTCTTAAACTTTAATTTTAGATTTGTATGTGCTCTTTTCCTTAGCATGTACCTGAGTTGTAAAGAAGATAGTAAGAAGTACTCCCAAGAGAGCCAGTGCTAAAATACAGAATTTTATTGTACTGTGAGGTCCAAACAACCGAAGCACTTGGAATCCCTCCCTCTGAGTTCCACTAACAATGAAATGATTGCTTCCATAGCTGTCCTTCCTTTATTGAATGCCTTCTTCTCATCAGACATCTTATTTATTCTTCATTCTGGGTGGTGTGGTGAGTATTTTGACTCTATTAGAGATGGGGAGGATTAGAGAAGGAGCCTGTCCATAGCCATCCAGGTAAAGAGTGGCCGAGCTGAGGTTTGGACCCAGGTCTTTCGGGTTCCAAAGTTGGCTCTCACTACACTGTGTTGCCTCTCCTCTGTCTGACAATAGACAACCTTTTCTCATCTTTGTTTGCCCATAGCTAGCCACCTTAATACCCTGTGCATGTCCCACAGAGAACCCTAGCATGACTTCCCCCAATGCCTTCCCCTTGATCTCTGGTTTAAGGAAGCCAACTAACAGCCTTGGCCAAGTCCAGATTCATCTTGGCCCACCAGTGACTCTTCTGGTCTCCCCCTCTATATTTTTCTATGGAACAATCTAAGGACAATTCCTGCCAGCCACCACCATGGGTAATGAATGGTTCTTGTATTTCTAGGTCCTAGGAGGTAAGTGACTGAGCTAATCAGAAACTAAACACACTTTGTCCTCCTCAGAGGATACCACTCAGAGCTTCGGAAGTATCTCCTCACTTTCCCAGACTAAATAATAAATCCATGGACCATTGACGAAGGGGGAGTATTTGCAAATACCACCCTAAAAAAGAGAATTAAAATACAACAAAGAACTACTTGGCACCATTTCCTTCTATAGGCCAGAGCAGCCCATGTAAGCACTGGGAGCATTTGGTGGGAGCTGAGAAAGTTCCATTCGACTGGCTCATGAATCAATCGCACAGTCCCATGACCCAGCAGAGAAAAGAAGGCACTTCCAACAGCCCACATCAGGAATATCACTCTTCTAATTATTATTCATGAAAATATTCTAGGATTCTTTTTCAAGTTGTAAATATTATGCAATAAATTATAATTTTGGAAGAAGCAAAAAGAAATCTTAGTTTTATTCATCTGGAAGTTGGCAAAATGAGTACAGGACACCTCACAGGAAAAGCTTTGTCTCTATGGGGAGGATTTTAACAGGTGTTAATATTTCCTTCTGGAAAGCAGATTATGTTATGGTATATATGAGCCTGGTGATCGCAGGGATTTGGGTCCATGAGGTAGTTTATATTTGGAGGTAATGTTTTGTGAGTAATAAAATGTGACTACTCTAAATTAAAAAAAAAAAAAATGTGACTACTCTAACTTTCTGTTCTCAGGGTTTTCTGTGGGGAGAGGGAGGCACCTGTTGTCCACATTACACATCGACCTTAAGACCTATTGCTTGATGAACCAGTATATGCTGGGAACCTTTGATTGAATGGTGTGTTGCCCTCCCCCCTCCCCCACAAGCTCTGTTTCAACTAGTCTAGGTAGAAATTAAATTCTATAATTCAAGTTAGATGTCTTTGATTATATTATTTAACAGTTAACTATAATAATAAGTAAATCCTAGAATCTCCATGGCTTAACATAATCAAAGTTTATTTCTTGCTTATAACCCACATTCAGTTCATTTGGTGGTAACAGGGAAGGGGGTTGGTAGCTCTATCTTCCCAAGTCCTCACTTAGAGATCTGGACTGACACAGGCGGTCTGCCATCTGTGGACTTCCCTCCAAGGCTACTCTGGCATCAACATCAGTTGATAGATGAGAGAAAGGATCACATGGGGGCAATTAGGGGTCTCACCTGGAAATGGCACATGTCCCTTCCCCTAAGTTCTATGGGCCAAAAGTTAGTCACATAGGCCCATCTAGATACTAGGGCTTCAGGAAATGAAGTCCTTAGCTAGCAGCTACTTCCCAAGTACATTTCATGGGAAAGGAGCATAGAACTTAGATGTTGGGAGGCCAGAGAATGAGTCAATGGTTTTAGGTCCCTGCAGTTGATTTGCTATCAAGTAACTGTTGCATTTGTGTGTGGTAATATCTAGATCAGCAGGACGTTTTTGCAGACTCCAAAATAACCTTTTTAGGTTAGGAGCTTTCTTCTCCTCCCCCTGAACCCCCTTTTTAGGTCCTGCCTTTTCTAGTATTTGGCTGATTTTTATCAAAAATCTGTCTCTGAGGCTGGAATTGTAGCTGGGTGGAACACTCATCTAGCACGTGTGAG